AAATTTTAATCAAAATTAAGTCTGTTGTTATATCTTTTTATTCTTTATTGTAATTTGACTTACGGATTAATTGTCTTCTTGAAAAGTATTATTTTGTACAATGTTTCAAATAATTCAAATGTTGATGAAATTCTTTTCTTTTTTTTTTTTATTCACAACTCATATAAACTTGACATGATAAAAAAAAAAAAAAGTACAAAAGACATAAATTCAGTAATGTATACAATTTTCATAATTTCAAAATGTTTTTCATTGTTCAAAAGTTTAAATTTTAAAAAATTTACAAAGAAAAGATATAAAAAAAAATTTTTGATATGCTTTTGGGAATAAAATTTAAATTTGACATAATTATGGTTGAGTAGGACAAGAACATATTCCAGTATTGCATGGCAATCCAAAACACAAAGTGGAATTTGGGATGCATTCTTTTCGATTGCATATTTTGAATAATGCATCAAAGATACCCTTTAAACCAGCACATTTAAAACCTAAAATTTAGAAAGTTTTTTTGAACTGATTTATATGGATGATAAATAGTGAATGATAAGTGATAACAAAAGAATTAAAAGTATTTTAAAAAAAAAATTCACTATTAAATGATGTATTCAATCAAAAGCTAAAATGAAAAAAATAAAAAAAAAAATTAACCTTTGTCACAGTCACAATATTTTTGATTGCTGCATGCACCTCTTAAGCCACCACAATCTGCATCAGATTTGCATGGTGTAAATTGCAAGCATGCAGCACAGTTGCATGTACCAACTGCAATACCAAAACATTTTCCTGCAAAAAAAAAAAAAAAAATAGTAAACAATAGATTCATAGAAGTTGTTTATTTTTTTTAACTTCCGTGAATCTATGATAAGTTCTGAAGCTAATATTATTTTTGGAAGATACAATTGAATTGAATGGGAGAAGAGAAATTGAATTATAATTTCTAATTTAGGAAAACATTAAATTTTAAGGAAGCAAATTTTAAAAGTTATATTGCACTAATGTAATAAACTCTTAGAATTTATGCTTTTGCATAGTTTCATATTGAAATTTTTTTAATTTGAAATGAAAACTAATACATTTTGATTTAAAAAAAAAAATGAAATCATACCGCCATTGCAGTCCAAATCAATTGAGCAATTTTTCATTGGTATACAGGGTGACACAATAGGTTTACGTTCTTTCTCCTCTTTTAATACACGTAATGTTCGTGTCCAATTATTGAAATCTAAAAATAGAAACGAAAAAAAAAAGTTAATTAGAAGTAATTTAATGTTAATTTTAGGATTTAACAAGTAGTAAATACCTGAATTTCAATTACAGTTATTATAATCTGAAATGAATGAATGCAATTTGGTAAGATTGTTTGCTTTCTATTAATTAATATTGCATATATATGAACTAAACAAGTATAAAAAAAGAAATATAAATTAAAAATATAAATTAGATAACAAAATGAGAAGTAAAAAAGAAAATAGAAAAAAAAAAGGTAAAAGAAAATAAATATACAATGATAATTGAAATGATAAATTATACTATTAGACTATTTCAAAAATTATTTTAGATATATTCAAATGGTAACAAAGGTACCAAAGGTATCAGCGGAAAAAAATGAAGATTCTTCCTCGGTACTAACACCATAAGTTACAGCAAGTAATGCAGCACTGAGAAATATTGTTCCAATGGTACCAAACATTATTCTTCTTAAAGAATATTTGTCACAGATATTTGTTAAGTCTGCAATTTCACTTTTCTGATAACTCAGAACAAAATAATTTAAACGGTTGTATATTGGTTTAATTCCGGGAAACAATTTATGTTACGAATTTATAAAATCATTTTTGATACGCTAATTAATCTATCAGATTTTATTCTTTTTTTTTTTTTGATAATTTTTTGATTTATTTTAAAATTTTAATCGTATTGTTTTATTCATTCTGACATTTTCCGACTGTTATTATTATAACTAATTGACAATACAACGATTTTTATGTTTATTATTTGCAAAGAAAGTAAAAGGAATAATATTAGTAATTGAATAATTAAATCAATAATGATCAATTTCTAGTAAGTTTTCATTATTTTTTCTCAAATTCCCACAAACTTATTTCAAATTTAATTTATCGATTGAAAATATACATTTAATAATTTATAGAAATGTAAACATATCAAAGCAAAAAAAGTAAGAAAAGTAATTTATAATAGAATAATCAACAATGATTATTAACTATTAATAAAGTAATTGAGATTTCTCAATCTAATCAAATCATGATCTTGCTCTTCCAACCCGCTCTATCATTTAACTTTCTGGAAAAATAAGATTTTAATAATTATCCAATTTTTTGTTTGTTTCGTTTTTGTTTATAAATTATTTCACATTTCGCATTAATAACATTTCTAAACATATTTTTCTTATTGATAAACAAACTTTTCGATGAAAAATTATACATCAGAAATGCATTCTTTTTAATGATATCTATTCAATTACTGAAAATAGTTTATTTACCTAAAATGTTGGACATTTTAATTAATAATATCAAAACAGGAAATTCTTACAGAAAATAAAACTTATTAGATAGCTCTCATCAAATTAATTTCGCTTTACGAATTTCTTTTCTTATTAACAGTTAGTCATCAACTGATAAGAGAAAATTAAATGTTATACAAGCGAAAGCTAAGATATAAGGATAATATTAACGATAGGAATTAATAAATCATTTTACTTCTTTACTTTTTACAAAATCAAAATAACGTTTCCGCATACTTGTAGCAGAAATCTTCAGTAAAAAAATTCAAAAAGTCAAAAAGCAAAAACAAATTTAAATTTAACGCTCAAAATAAGTGTTTTAAATAATACTTTTTATATATTTATAGTTTTTTTTTTCTTAAATAATCCTGTTTACACATTTATAGTTAAGTCATATTTAATTCTTAAAATAATTATAATTCCTTCAGATTTTTTAACTTAATTAATCCACTTCATATCACAAAAGATAATCAAACAATTCATTTAATTTATTGTAGCATTATAATACCAAAAATATATTCTGCAGTAAATATAAAAGTGTTTTCAGTTAATTATAGAAATACTTCATAGAAGAAAAGCACATGTTGCATCATTAACTTCTAACTAATTAAAGGTAATGCAAATGATTACCTTTACATATCTAATAATGTTGGTAATAAAAAAAGAAATTTCATAATTTAAACTATTAGGAAATACTTCGCTGTCAAAATTCACTGTAACTTTTAGCTTTATCGATGCTTATCATCCTTTAGCGATTTTCATAGTTTTTGTTTGTTTCATGGATTTTCTACTTATTTTGAAATAATAATATTTATGGAAGTATTGCAGGAAGAATTAGACTATAAGAAATAATCTTTAAGATTAGAACTATAACATTTTCCATTAATTATTTATAGTTTTATGTAAAAAACTTTATTACTAATGTCGTCTTAGTCTGCTTCTAATGCTCCATTGATCCTTTCCATAGAATTCGTTGAAATCCCATACCTAATTTATAATCATCCATTTGCGCTTGAACAAATAATTTTATTCCCTTATAGCATTTTTTTTTCTGATCTTGCTAATTCTTTTCAACTTCTTCATGTTATAGAATGTGAACTTTGGACTGAAAGTAAACAATTAAAAAAGCGTACCTAGCTTGAGGCCTTCCGAAATCCAATGAACTGAATTTTAACTAAAAGTGAGATCCCCAAACAAAAAATCGATCGTTTAACCAAATTACAAACCTTTCGGACTCATAACTCGAGTAAAGAAAAACAGCTCCAAGGTGAAAGTTCACTACGCCAACTCTCATAATAGCCCTTCAGCTTTTCATTTGTATTCCTGTTCAGATGGTTGCTCTTGTGTTCCTGTTGTAACTCTTTCCTATTCCAGATTCTTCATTAACGCATACGTCTGTGACTTAGGAACAAGTCCGTCTAAATACCAGATAACATGCTTTTGTGGACAAACATACCCTCACCCTCCCTATATATAAGCTTTCAACGTCACAGATTACGGTCACAAAACTTGCTGCCCCATAGTCTCATATCTCATCAAAGCTAATCTTGGCGGAAAGCTTATGCATAAAATGTATTTCGAACAGACCACACAAATTAGTGATGTAACAAAGAGGAATTAATTGAAATTCAAGAAAATCCTCGTAAATGTGGCGGACTAATTATTCAAGAAAACTAACTTCACAGCTCCTTCAAAAAACTTTTTGGCCAAATAAGGACAACTTGATTTATTTGTATCTGCAAATTTTTGAACAATAAACGAATATTTAACAATTACAGATACTTCTATGTTCTTCAATAAGGGGGTATTTGTGGCATCTGACCCGGCATCGGTTGCAACAAATCCTTCTTTTCTTGTTTATGTTCTGATTCTGGATGCAGTGGATTCGGTGCTTCATTCGGTTCTTGGATATGAATCTGGTCAGGCAATGCAATACGTGGTCCCATATTTCCTTTAGGGTCGTGTGGCAGCATTATTTTCACTTTGATACCCAAAACACCTACAGAAACATGTTTACACTGTTTGTTCAATTTAAATGTTAACTGAATAATATTCATTGGAATTTTCCAACTTTCCACATTGATCTAAGCATCCACTCTAACTCGTCCGTTTTTTTTTTCCAAATAAACTTTATTTAAACACATTACTGTGTTCGCAGAACCTTGTTTTATGGGTAATAAAAACTCTTGTTAAAGCAATCTTTCAGATAAAATGTAAAAATGCCAAACACCAATAACTATAAACCTTGACGGAGTTGAACGTGACGTACTGCCTGTTGGATGTAATCGTTTACCGGTTGACCAGAATGAATCATCAATCCATCAACAAATTTCATCGACTTAGCTCGCTGACCGCGCAGCTTTCCGGATACAATTACCTAAAAAAGCAGAGAGTTATGTAAAGGCTTAAACACCCCCTACTGAGAGCCTATATTCTCAGCGTGTTAATATGCGGTTCTTAATAATTCAAAACCTACCATGCTCCTTGTTTGAGTGGAATAAGAGAGCTCAGGCAATAACCAGAATCATTGCATACTCAGAGAGATATGCTTACATAAGAGGTGTCATTGAAATGAACATCATAGCTCCCACGAAGACAATACAACACCACTTCTCTATCTGTGACCCGAACTATAATAGCTATTTCTATGCCGTAATACCTACGCCACTACACCACTTCATTACCAACAAATCTCACTCAGTTTCTACCAATGAAGTATTTTTCTCCATTTTCTGGAATTTACTGGACAATTTTTTTCTTTTTGATAGAAAGATGCAATAATTTTATATAATTTTACTACTAAATATTTTATATTACTACTATTATTACCCATGGAAATGTAATCCAGCTCGAATATGCCAATTATCTCATTTAACAGACGTGAAAATCGACTTACTTCGCATCCTTGTGCATTGGATTCCATAATAAAACGCAACACACCATAGCAAGCTCGACGAACAGCTAAACCACCGACCAGTTTGTAACGTAACGATTCGCACTGAGCTACAGCGCAAAGACCGCGATTTGTAACTTTTTCCGCGTAAAGCTGAAACATGAAAATATATCTGCTGCAGTAGCTTCGATAACCAAGTCAAATCAAAACGATAAACTAAATCAAAACTTGCAAACATAAAGGTTTTCCGTGACAAACTTACCTTATGTCGGCATGCCGCTTAATTTTATGATTAAAGTTATTTCAATAAGTCCCGTGATAATGAAATATATATATATATATATGTACAAATTTTTGAAAAAACTAAGTCAGTCAAAAATTTTTTGCGCAGAAAAAATAACGAAATTAAAGTGTTTGCACTAAATCCTATATATGACTTTTTCCAAACGTGTGATATATCCAGGCATATCTTTTCAGCATTCACAAAGTGTTCCCCCACTTTTTCTTTAAAAATAATTTATGAAAGTTCCAAATTGTTTGTGAATTTACTTTACAACCAAAATTCAACAACTATATGAAGTGTGATATAGCTGAAATAAATAAAGTGGGCTTCTGGTATGAACTTCTACGCCAATGCTGCGATTTAGAGGCGAATGATTGTAACATACCTCAACTGTACCATCAGCAAATCCAAATCGTTTCTGTACAACCGATGTTAATTCACGAATCCGCCGTCCACGTTCACCTAACACACTTTGCGTACGTGTAGCCAAAATGATTATCTGCATGGAGAATATCAAAGTCAATGAAAAGTCAATAAACACAAATTTCGGTCTACAAGAATACTTTCAAAAAATTATCACCGTTATTATTATTATTATTGTTATGATCGTTACTACTATCATTATTATATTATTACTGTTATTATTACCAGTCATTTGTTATCATCATTACCATTATTTTCATTATTAATTATTATTATTATTGATCATTACTACTTTATTATAGTTGTAACAACTACCACTATTATTAATTTACGTAACAACTACCACTATTATTTAGTATTATTATTCATAATTAATGAGAGGATTGTGGCAAATTCTATGCCAACCAGATTTAGCCATCTGTCAAAAAAACTCGAAATTTAAATGGTGTTCCAAGGCATGTAGCTTTTAAAATCAAATTCAGTGAACAATACGAACCTCGGCACGTGCCGGTGTTCGCCGAACTTCAACACCCGAATAACCATCTTCGGCTAGTTCCTTCATAAGGAAATTATTTAATTCAGCTTTGAAAATACCATCCTGCACCGCCTTTCGCTTCTTTGACATCTCCTGCGTTGTGACTATCATTGGACTTTTTCTCCTGTCTCGTGAAATTAAAATACCTAACTGTAGCTACCAAGATTACCTGAAATATATTAAAAAATGAGCAAATTATAATCTGTGGCTCCAATCTATTCCTATCCAATATCACGAAATATTACAACTACCCTGAAACAGTTATCCAGTACGACAATGACAAAGTCATTAATATGATGCTGCAATCTCAGCTGCAGTACAAAAACATATGATTGGAATTCAACAAACATACTGAAAGAAACGGATATGGAACTATTATCGGTCGACTTGCTTGAATATTTCAAAGCTCTCGATAGCTTCAAATTTATAGCGATGAAAAATATGTGAAGAATCATGCAATTTAACATAAGTAATAGAAAATCATATCATGAAAAAAACAAAGGAAAATTATGATAAAATAAAAATGTCTGAAGCATTTACATAAATACAGGAAAAATGTAATAGCAGAAAAACTGTCAACGCAAGGATATCATCGACTATAATCTGCTACCGAAAAGCAACAAACATTCCCAGCAAAAATGTAATTATATAGCAACAGCTTTTGCTAAGCAACAACTCTAGCGACGTAAGTATCGAACCTAACGTTTGAGTCGTAAATGGAATCAATCAGGTCACGCAACGTACGAGCTCCACCCCGACAAAAAGATTGTCAATTGACCCTAAAGACGTCCTATCTCATTTGACTTGAGAATTACAAATGCGGGCCGCGGCCCATTAAATACCACCTATCTAGCTGGATGCCTTGGACCTCTTCTTTAGCATTTGTTATTCATTCTCTATCTGCCATTACAATGTCTGTTAACTGCCTAATACATGTAGTATGCACAGATTCTTAAACTACTGTATAACTGTCTGAAGTCTCTTCGTTAGTAACGTTGTACTTTTTATTATATGTGTCTAACGTAGTGTCAAAGAATATGAGTTGCAGTTAAATCCTGACACTGTCCAACTATGTGTCACTATTTTGTGAACTGTGCAAGCTGAGTTGGAGTGTAGATTTGAGGGATCTGAAATGTGAGAGTAAGTGAATAAGTAAGTAAGTGAAGAGTTAAGAGTAAGTGAGTAAGTAAGTAAGTGAAGAGTTAAGAGTAATGAAAGTCACTTTTGCAACTCAATATTAAGGTTTCCAATTAACAGTGTTTAATCGAATTTTTTTAACTTATCAAAATTTGGATTTATTATCAAAAATGAGTTATGAGGGTATCTTTAAATTATTAAATTAGTATTCTTGTAATATCATTGTTTATTGGACTAATAGTATGCTCTGTTAGATCAATCATCTCAATTAGAAGTGAACTTTACTTGATCAGTATTCAAAAACTTGTTTATTCTCGAAATCATTAATTACATAACAAGATCAGGATCCAGACAAAAAAAAAAAATCATCAAAGATAATTTTTTCACGCACATAATTACAGGAGTGATGAGTTGTATTTAGGATAAACCGGAAATTTTTATTTACAATCCAACTAATTCCTATAGTTTACATTTCCATAATTTGAATTTTCAGAATATGAAGTGGAATTTGCTACTCTTTCATTTCTACAAATTTATTGCATCTCAGAATAGCTTCGAAATTCTCCATCTTAGAATTAATTGATTTTCTTATTGATTTTCCATTTAACGCTTAAATCTAGAAAATTTCTATCTGAACAACATATGAACAAATAATAGCCTAAAATATTTGATTGATTAGTTTAATTAATAGCAAAATTGATTAATACCACCAGCAACATTTCAATAATACGAAACATAAATGAAAACAGAATGTGAACAACGATGATTTGTACAGCACCGTATCGACGTAATCAGCGGATTGTCGATCTTCATATTCCACACGTCCGTATAAGTTTACAACCCAATAGAATCCTGAAAATTCAAAATTAAATTCGAAATTTGAAATTTGCTCCAAAAAGGATTCCAAGTTCATTGATTTATCGAAAATTTCATACCAGGTATATGTATCTTAATGATATCTTCCCTGTTATACGCCTTGAAATTTATGGTATAAATTTTAATAAGAATTTTCAGGATCAGACACAATTAGAAAACATAAATGATAACTTTAAGCTTTAGAAGAGGTAAAATATTAAATTTGAAAATATTTAAATTGAATTCAAGCATGTTTTACATTTAGATCACGAAGTATATTCAATGAAATATGCAATTTAAAAAAAAAAAGCAATTTTTAGTAAGTAATTTTTTTTTTTGGAAAAAATTCAATTGCTTACCAACTAATCCAATTAGTAAAACAAATAATGCAACCAGCAAATAAATAATACAACCAATAAAACGAATAATTTGACAACACCATTTGCGCTCACCAATTTTTGTTGTTGTTGCATAGGTGAAGAAGAAAATTAGATTAAGAAGAACCTGTACCAATCCTGAAATTAACTCCTTAATCAATTTTAATTTAAGAAATTCAAATAATTAATCAGAAAAATTAATATTGCCTAAATTTTTTATATACAATGGTTTACTCGGATAAACGTATTTCAAAATTATTCGATTTGATCTTTTGCTTGCTACTAAGATCCCTTACTTTCTTTATTTACTTTCATCCTCATTTTACTCTATTTCTAATGAGGTCCTTGACTTTACTTTACTCTATTTCTACTGAGATCCTTTACTGCACTTTATTTATTTACTTTACATTTACTTTCTTTTGCTTTGTTTTACTTGATTTTTTACTTTACTTGCTTACTACATAGCTAATTTAGATACTCTTATTGCAAGCGACTTTCTTTTCTTTGTTCAAAATCTGCTTTTGTAGTTCTTTCGAGAATTGATCAAGTGATCATTTTACTATTACCAGTGTAATTACGAGGTATTTTGCGGATAAAATTTGAACATTTAATTATGAAACTTGAATAATTACAAGTATTATTGAGTTATAATATTCAATCCTTTTTTAAAATTCTAAATTTATGTTTCAAAGTTTAAAAATGAGATTTGAAAGTTATTATAATGTTTTTTTTTCCTTTTTTCAGCAAAGATTAGAACAAATGTTTATGTATGTTTCTGCAAAATTTGAAACATTCATCTTAAATTTTAATTGACATAACAGTAAAATGTGACTGATTACGGTAGATGGAATTTTCTTGAAACAAAATGTAACGAAGTGTAATTCATCATTTAACTCTTTTAGTTCGTATAAATGCAGAAAAGGTATTTACTAGACGATTGAACAATTTTACAAGAAATTTAGAAAACCTAATTAATAACCTCTCATTAACTTTGGCTATATAGATTAAGCTTTAAGTGATATCATGATTTTTAATAATGATTGCAATTAAAAATTTATAACCTTTATGTTGTCAATAAAATGTGTAAACATACTTATTACCAATTTTACTAGTTGAAATAGCATTGAAATAAAAATTTTGATGAGACAAAATAAAATGTAGCAATGCTAGTGATAGCATTATCAGTGCAGTTGAAGCAGTAATATAAAAAATAATAAAAATAAAAGCAGTGATAATGTTGAATGAAAGATTGTAGCATTAATCAGAAGAAATAAGCATAAGTTTTATTAATTTTTAAGTTAAAAATTTAAATGAAACATTTCAAAATTCTGATTGAACTGCTTAAACGAACCATTCCGGCAATAAATTTCATTTTAATATTTCACTTTTAGGTATAATTGCTTTTATTGCATTACTATTTCATTATTCTTTATTGATCAATTACAAGTAAATTTTGCTAACTGGAAAATTTTAACTTAACAATTAACCAATCACTAAAATTGCAAAATCTCAGTATGAAAAATCAGAAAAACCAAACAAAAAAAAAAAAAATTCTTTTTAAAAACTTTTTTCTTCCAGCTATGAAATTTTAATTATTAGCAAAGTATAAATTTAGAAAGCGAACCATAAAGAAGTAGAACAGTTTTTATTGTATACGCACTTTGATGACGTGATTCGTAGCCGTAAACGGATGAATTACGAGAAAATGCAACGTATAAGGCGTATACACCACATGCATAACTAATTATCGCAATTGCTAATTGTTTTTTATTAACTGAAAATAATTAAGCGTATTAAGCGTAAAATAATGAAGGAAAGTTATTCAAGTAATTAAGTTCTATCACATATAATTTCCCTAATTAAAATATTCTTTGAGTTATCACGGGATAATGGAATCTTCAATGGTGAGAAAATAAAGTATACAATATTCAAAAATAATTGATATCAAAAATTTTCATGTTTTATCTCTTTTAAAATCTGAATTTATGCCTGATTTTTGTATAATCTAAAATTAATTACTAAAAAAAAAAAAACATTTAATTGATAATTTATATTACAATAAAAAAAAATTTGGAAAAGTTGAAAAGAACTTACTCATTTGATTAAAAAATACCACCAAATAGATAGCTATGCTATTTCTCGTTCCTCTTTTCCTGAATGTCTCTGATGATGGCTGATTGTTGCTGTTAACAGTATGTCTATTCATTGATTCTAATTTTGAATTTGATAAACCATGAAATTCTAAGTCATATTCGTTGATAGCGGAGTGTGATAATGGAAATTCCTCGTATCTCTGAGGTGTTAGCTTCTATAAAATTGAGACAATTTAAAGAATATTTGTTAAATTAAAATTTTAATGAGAATAATTTACTAATTAGCAACACTAAGTATGAAATTAATGAAAATGCTAAATGAGTAACAGGTAAGATATGAGAAAAATAAGAAATGTTGATAGTAATATTTACCATTGTTTATAAGAATAATTAATTGTCCGAGTAAACAATAATTACTCTTACTAATACCATCAATGTCGCATTCCGCAGTAAATTTCGCGGTAAAGTCTGCCATTTCATTTACATACAGAAAAATGTAAAATGGAAAAAAGGAAGTGAAAAACGATGAAAGATTTAAATTGAATGTAAATTTCAACATAAATTCATCTACAAATGATATTAATTGAGAAGAATATTACTGAGAATATGCTATTGAATATGATTTGGCGGTAAAGTCGCATCAGAAATT